AGTGGCGGTTATACCTGCCCTGTCAGAAGTCAGAGGGCCTAAAGCAACGAAATTCGGTTATAAGGGGCTTATTCTCAAGGAACAAGGTATCTTCGAATCACCTGCGTAACCTGCACTCTTAGCCTTCGTTCTCCTTTTGCTTCTCGCACACAATACTAACTTAAGCATCGGAGCGTTCCCACCGGGAAACCCCCTGGGAGTTCTTCCTCTTTCCTCTCGTCTCAGGTACCTCTCAGGAGCCACGCGAGCGCCAGGTAGGAGTGACCGGATTGTGCTACATCATTTGGCGCCGTCTGTGGGAAACGCTTCAAAAGGCCTTTCTCTCTAAACTTTCTCAGTTCTTTTCTTCCTTGAAACAATCCAACGCTCATGGCTTCCTCTAGCAACATCGGACGAAGCACGGAAATGGACAACTCTAGGGAAGAACCCCAGCTTCCTACTGTCTGTATCGGATAGTTCACTGTCCCCCTCTCAGCGGACGGAATCCCCAACTTGAATGTGCCTCTCACAGTGGCACCTGTCGTCGCCCCACTCCCTGCTATAGTCAGAGCGACGTTCACCGAACCTTCGGTCGTGCCCCCAGCGGCCAGCTCAAACCAACTGGAGGACTTGATGCAGTGCATGCGGGCCATGCAGGCCCAAATGCAACAGTTCCAACAACTTCAGCTCTATCAACAACATGTACTGCACCAGGTCTCCCAGTATCAGTATCAGCAGCAGTTCCCCTAGCTGCCTCAACCTCAACTTCAGTAGCCACAGTTCCCGCCTCGACACCCAACCTCATAGCAAGCTAAGTCTTGCCGCTAGGACGAGCACCCCTCTGGCGGGTTGCACTTCAGCAGCAGCTCGGGCGTCGGTTTGCGAGGCCACCCGGGCGGAGCAGAACCCCCCAAAGCGGCCGAGGACAGAAGAGCCAATTTTCTTCACAGGAGATGATACGCACTCAATTTGGTGTTCATATGAAAATACTTCGCTCCGGTAATGCCAAAGAATACATCTCCTCACCATTTCAGCAATACCTAGAACATCATGGAATAATTCATCAAACTTCTTGTGCCTACACCCCGCAACAAAACGATGTAGCTGAACGGAAAAATAGACATCTTCTTGAAACTGTTCGGTCCTTGATTATTAATATGCATGTCCCAAAGCATTTTTGGAGTGATGCTGTTCTTACATCCTGTTTTCTGATAAATCGGATGCCCATGTCAATCCTTGGAAGTCAATCCCTTTCTCCGTGTTGTTTCCCACTTTGTCTCCMTTTCCTCTCACCCCAAGAGTCTTTGGCTGTGTTTGTTTTGTTCAACACTTGGGGCCTGGAGTGGACAAGCTAGATGCTCGAGCTACGAAGTGTATTTTTCTTGGCTACTCAATGACTCAGAAAGGGTACAAGTGTTATAACCCAAAGTTTCATAAATTGTTTGTGTGCCCTGATGTCACCTTCTTTGAATCAATTCCTTTTTTCTTAGCTGTCGGGGTCTCTTCTTCTCCCTCTGTGGTTCCTCTTCCTGTTTCGGTTGTGGACCCCCTTCCTGTAGCTCCAATTCCTACTGCAGATGCACATCATATGCCTGTTACTATAGAGAGGCCGCCAATTACTCAAGTGTATACCCGCAGAAGTGCTTCGATCCCTCCTCCACTTCAGCACCTGTCGATAGATCCTGCTACTACTCCTCCCTCAGATCTTGATCTCCCTATTGCTTTGCGGAAAAGTAAACGTACTTGTACTTCTCATCCCATTTCAGACTATGTTTCCACTGCTCACCTTTTTGCTTCTCATTGCAAGTTTATATCATTACTCTCATCG